GAACCTCCAAACTGTTTTCCAGAGTGGCTGCACCAGTTTGCATTTGGGGATGACTTAGAAGCAATTGGACCTAAAGCTCTTGCTTCCCTTGTTGATTTTGGATCTCAGCCCATTAAATGGGAAAAAGTTTTGAGGGCTGTCTGACAATAACCTTTTTGAGAGTCCAGTTACCTGGATCAGAGAAATCCTACCTGGGACAAAACTTTTTTTTACCTTCTAGCCAAAGTTTGGGGACTAAAACAGGGGCCCTGAAATTAACTGAGTCCTCTGAGAAATAGTGCAAACACATCCCATTTGTGGGTAGAAGCCTCCCTTCCTCTGGACTCTCATCACTGGCTCAAGACTTCTGGTCTGGACCAAGAGTAAAAAGTAGAGCCACCAATGGGGCGCCTGGGTGGCTCAGTCAGTTAAGCTTCTGACTTTGGCTCAGGTCATGATCTTGCCATCTGTGACTTTGAGCCTCGTGTTGGGCTCTGTGCTGACAGCTGAGTCTGGAGCCTGCTTCGGATTCTGTCTCTCTCTCTCTCTGAAAAATAAACATTTAAAAAACTTTTTTAAAAAAGTAGAGCCACCACTAGGATTCTTCCTCAGGAAGTTGTACAGAGATGTGGCACTCCAGACTCCATAGCGTCTGCTCAGGGGACACACTTCGTAGCTTCTGTATTCCAAGAATGAACTTGTAAGCAGACAGATCCTTGAACTTGTCTGTCAGCCCATGCAGGGAGGTGGGGCTGAAGCCTGGAACGGCTCCCACTTCCATCAGCTCAGCTCCCGCTTCTACTCAGCTCAGCACACACTTACGATCTTGTCATTTTACTGAGTTTTTGAAATGATTTTTATTACACACTAGCTTCTGGAGAATACCAGGTTTGTTTCAAGCCTCCCTTCAGGCCCATCTATCTTATGCCCTGTCCCTGTCCTGGGGCTGAGGTGCAAGTGGAGGATGGAACAATGACCTCCCCACCTTTGTGAAGACTGTCTTTCCACACCATACAGAGCAGGTGGCAGCGTTGGGGGTGGGAACGGGGCCATGGGTCAGTCTTCATCTGAGTCACTGGGGCCCAGGTACTGGCAGACAGCATCATAGTGAAGTTCCACCAGCTGATTCTCTCTCTGCAGCTGCACCACAGCCCGGCTCTGTTCTCTGTCCCAGTCCAGCAGGCGGCCCACCTAGAGTAGCAGCGGGTGGAGTCAGCAGAGCCAACCCAGACTCTGGGACATCCCCTGCATGCTTCCACCCCCCACGCCCAGGTCTGGGACTCACCTTTCCAGCCTGTGGCCCCAGCACCACCATAACCCGGTTGCCTTGGACCTTGGGGACCAGGGTCTCCAGCATGTCTTCCCTCAGGCCTACAGATGAGGGGAGGGAGTGAGGCCCACAGCCAGGACTAGCCCACCCAGGGTCCTGTCACAAGTCCTTTTCTGTATTCCTGAGAGCCACTCTGTACCCTGTTGACAGGTGTGGGTGAGGACACCTAAGGAGCAGTTCCTAAAAAAGGGAGCACTTATGTAGGAAGATGATGGGTGATGATAACAGATACCGTTTACTGTGGGCACGTTATATGCCCTGCCCTGCACAAGGAGTTCAGGACACATCTGTACAAGAGGGAGAAATAGCTCATTTTCATGCCAATGTCACAGATGGGGAAAGGAGGGGCTCAGATAATACTATCACAGAAGCGCCTAATGTTCTGTCAGAAGATTCTGGGCCTTGGGGGCGCCTGGGTGGCTCAGTTGGTTAAGCGTCCAACTTTGGCTCAGGTCATGATCTAATGGTTTGTGAGTTCGAGCCCCACATTGGGCTCTGTGCTGACAGCTCAGAGCCTGCTTTAGATCCTCCGTCCTACTCTCTGTCCCTCCCCTGCTGGTTCTCTCTCCCTCCTTCATTCCCTCTCTCTCTCAAAAATAAATAAATAAGCTTAAAAAAAAAGACTCAAAATTAAAAAAAAAAAAAAAAGACGATTCTGGACCTTACAAAATATCTGAACTCTACCCTATCTCCCAGCCTCTGCCCACACCAGCCTCTTGGTCTAAGACAGCCTTCCCATCAGCCTCCAGGATGATAACGACCCAGTGGCCATCTCTCAGACTCACCTTCCAGGACCTGGCCTTGATCTGTTCGACACACACAGGTATCTGGGCTGAGGACATCTTCGATCGTCATCTGGGGAGGTCAAGGGATGTGAGAATGTTGGAGTTATGGGGACCTAGTCCCTGGGGGAGGAGGAGAACCCAGGTTGCAGGGTTCCCACCTTGGTGTTATAATACTGGCCACCCTTGTGCAGCTTGTCCACAAAGCGTACGCGTAGGTCCCTGTGCAACCAGTGCTGGCTCCTGGGACCTGCCTTCTCATTCTTGGCAGCAGGCTCCCCCTGTCTGTGGAAAGGGGCCAACACGGGGCTTAGTTCATTAGATGCACATTCTGCTCACCCCACCTTTGCTGCTGCTGTGAAACCCACCCATAATGCTGTCTCTAGTTCCTTCTATGTGCCTGCCTTGCCCTGGAAGCCTTCTCTGACTGCTGGAGCCTCTCCACAGCCTTGCCTTCTCCCCCCCATCCCAGATGCCCAGGGTCCCACCGGTCGGGAAGGTGTTTTCGCTTCCTCTGTGAGTCCTCTTGCTGGCTGGGGAGGTCCTGATCCCGGAGGGCCTTCCACGACGAAGCTGTTCCATTCTGTTGCACTGAGGAAGTTTTACGCATCTGGCCTACACAAGGGTGTGTGGGGAGAAGGAGGAAGGAGCCTCAGTGTGCCATTCTCTTACCTTGCAGGCTACACCTCAGCCTCAGGCCACCTCCCACTTGCCTCAGTGTCCCCTCCTACCATCATGACTTTGCCTACACCAATGGAATGCTCTTCCCTTCCCTTCAACTGCTGGGGCTTCCTTTAGGAAGCCTTCCTCAGCCACTCGAGCCTGCGCTGATGCTGCTAATCTGAGGCGACCACCTAGTATGGGCTAGAAAATCCTGAGAGCTCTGTCAGCACCAATCTCCCATCTGCCAAACTGCCCCATCCTGCTGCCATGCCTAGAATGCCTTCATCCCTGGTCACAGCCTAGTCCCAGCTGCCCTCACTCCCTAGAAGAAGACAGGCTCATCACCCTGAATAGACCTCCCAAGGATAGGAATTGGTTTCCATACCTGTTTATTCTCTCTCAGAAAGAAGCAAAAGAAAGCCCCAGGGTTACTACATCAATTTTTCCTCAAACTGAATAAACCACTTATCTTCATTCTCGCCTCCTGACCTCTGACCAGAAGTCACACCTGCCAGGCAGACTGCTGATCTCCCCGCCACCCCCACCACCTGGGACAGGCCCTACCTACCCCCCCCGCCGCCCGCCCCGTGGAATGCTTCTCTAACTCTCCCAGCTAGGTAAAAAGCTCACTCACTGAGATCCAAGGAATTCTTGTCAAACTCCTGCTGTGAGACAGGTTGCAGGTAGTACTCACTAACAGTCACCATGCGGCTCCCCACGGCCAGGCGAACCATGGCCCGAACGTTGTCAGGATCGAGGCCTTCTACCTGAATGGTTGGGGGGAGGAAGTTAGGAATGTGGACTAAACCCACATTCCTAGGCCCCAGCTGTCCACTCTTATTTCCAATAGGCTTGACCCCTGTTGACCCCTGTGTCTCCCCCACCAGACTGACCCAAGGCCTGGGACGGGCCCTGGTCCATATGTCTCCCCTGACAGACTCTGTGGCTTGGATATATTTTAAGAATTTAATCCTCAGGAACATGTGGCATATGGCATTCTCTCTTTTAGTTGGAAACTGAGGCTCAGAAAGGCCCAGCAAGTGGTTGTGAGTTACCAAATGAGGCAGCAAGCCAGGCACGCCTGAAAGACAAGGACTTCCAGCCCTTTCCACCCCAAACCCAAGTCTTCCTCCCTCTGGCCCTCACATCAATCTTCCCCGCTGCCTGTCTCAGGCTCCCGGCACAGTTTTGTTCCTTACCTTCCCATAGAGGCCTCGGTGCGGGCCAGAAAGAACCACCACAGCTCCCCCAGGCACCAGTCCTTGAGGCTGGTCTTCCTTATCCTTCTCTTGCTCCTCATCTGGCTTTGGCAGGCGGTGGGGGCCAGTGGGGGCCAGGGCCTGGACCTCAGTCAGGTTGGCACCCAGCCCTAACCCCTTTGGTCTCAGTGAGTTGACACGGGGCTTTACCACTCTGCAGGGAGCACAGTATGTGAGCTTGTTGGCCAGGAGAGGGGGAAGATGTAAGTTTTCAGTGCCTCCCCCACGCACTACTATTCAAATTCCACCCTGTCAACATGTTCAAGAATAGCCTTTCCCATCTCACACTAGGACTGCTTTTGATCTACAGAAATAACAATTTCATTTGGTCCAACCTAATAACACATTGGATAGACCATCTATTACATAGTATCTACAGCAGGACCTGAGGCAGATCCCTGTAATCAAACACCCTGATATTTCTACAGGGGAAATCATACAAATGTTCACGCCAAGCAGGAGAAATAGACTATAAAATGCTCTGTGTCTCAGGTCATGTTTGGCTACTAAATGGTTTATGAAAAAAATGTTTGGTTTTCAGAATTCTTTGGAGTTGAGAACTGAGAAGAAGTGACCATAAGTCTGTGTGATAATAGCAAATGTCTAGTCTATGTTTATTTGGGGCCAGGGCCTGCTGTAAGTGCTTTATGTGTATAATTTCACATAACTCCACAACAGACCTGGGAAGTCAATATTGTCATTATCCCCATTTTCTTTTTTTTTTAATTTTTTTTTTCAATGTTTTGTATTTATTTTTGGGACAGAGAGAGATAGAGCATGAACGGGGGAGGGGCAGAGAGAGAGGGAGACACAGAATCGGAAACAGGCTCCAGGCTCCGAGCCATCAGCTCAGAGCCTGACACGGGGCTCGAACTCCTGGACCGCGAGATCATGACCTGGCTGAAGTCGGACGCTTAACCGACTGCGCCACCCAGGCACCCCTCATTATCCCCATTTTCAGATGACAAAGCTGATGTTCGGAAAAGTAACCTTTACATAAATGGGATCTCGTTACAGAGTTTCAAAGGGTAAATAGGAGATTGAAACAGTAGTGGAAAGGCTTACTAAATTAATTAGGGTGGTAACATGCCCTCTCCCTGCCTGGATGGTTTTGGATGGGTAGTAACCATGGGGGTCTTGTTCGCTGCCCCCATCTGTTGCCCCTTGCCCCTACCCTAGAACTCACTGATTGAAGGTGCGGCCAATGCCCTCGCCAGGCTTCCAGCCCATGCCTCGTAACATGGCCAGCCCATAGGCCTCTACAGGGACTGCCTCGTAATCAGCTTCTTCCGGCACCTACAGGTTCAGACAGAGGAAGGATGGTTAGGCTTGGCTCACAGTGGGCCCTCCGAAGTGCGCTTACTAACACCCACAGGGTGACCCTCAATGCTTCTTTTCCAATAAGCTCAAGGTTAGTTTTGATTTCCTCTTGCTGTCTCTCACTTTACTCCTCCATGTTGTCCTTCAACAAATAATTATAAAGCACCTGTTCTGTGCCAGGTACTAATCTAGGTGATGAGGATAAAGCAGTAAACAAAACAAAAACCCTTGCTCTGTGAGGCTTACATTCTAGTTGTAGAGACACACAATAAATAAAATACAAAAAACATGGTATGTCAGGTAGTGATAAGTTATATAAAGAAAAATAAAGCAGCTTAAGGGGATGCAGAGGGATGGAGAAGAGAGGGTTACTGAGTTGATATCTGAGCAGAGACCAGAAAGAGATGACAGAGGGAGCCAGGAGGATATAGAAGGGAGAGTAGTCCAAGCAGAGAGAACAATAAGAGCAAAGGCCCTGAGGCAGGACAAGATCTGGTGTGGGAAGAGCATCATGAAAGTCAACCTGACTGAAACAGTGCTGTGGAGGCAGAGAGGGTGGTGAGACATTAATCAGGAGATCTGGGCTGGAGCTACAGGAGGCTGGCCACCACACAAGGGGACCCAGTGAGGAAGTTACAGCAATGGTCCAGATGAAAGATACTTGTGGCTCAGACCAGAGTGGTGATGGTGAGAAGTGGTCAGATTCTGGATGTATTCTGCAAAGGGACATGATAGGATTTTGCTGAAAGGCTGTACCTGGGGTATGGAATAAAGAGGGGAGTCAACACTGACTAAGGTTTTTTGGCTGAGAGGAAGGATAGATGTACCTGGGTTCAACTGAGATGTGGAAGGCTGGGGGAGGAGAGGAAATGAGAGAAATGAGGCCAAAGAGGGAACAGGGTGGAAAGTGAAATGAAGGTCCTATTTTTTAAGATGAAAGACATCAGAAGACATCTGAAGGCCAATGAGAACAGTTCAGTCAAAAGAGAGGGTGGTCTGGGGCTGTAAGAGAAATAGGCCCCAAAGAAGCATCGCTAAAAAATTGTGAATAAAGAGGTGAAAAGTAGAATCCATGTGTATGAAAGACAGACTTTGTTGCTTCTGTAGACATACCCTTCACTTCTCCTTATCGATCACCTCCCATCCTCACTCCAATTCTTTATACTCACTTTAGACACACTGCAAGTTGCTTCACCGATGGGCACACACAACACCGACTCCCTGCCACCATGCTGTTGCTTGGGTTGTTCCTGCCATTGGTACTCACGCTGCTCCTCCCTCTCTCACTAAACCCTACTTGTCCTTCCAGGCCTCACTCCTACCACTCTGGTCTCAGGCTCCATCATTTCTAGCCTGCACTACTAGTCTCCTTGTTTCCGCCTTTACTTACTAGTCTGTTCTGCTCACAGTAGCCAGAGAGATCTTGTGAAATCTTAAGTCTTCACCCTCTCTGCTCAGAGCCCTCTCATGGCCCTCATATCATTCACAATAAAAGCCAGAGTCCTCACCATGGCCCACAAGGCCCTGCCTAGTTTAGCCCCAGCCACTTCCTACTTTCCAATTTTGTCACTTTCTACCTCTGCTTAATACAGTGTGATAGATTACACTCTGTCATGATAGACAGTTCTACTTGGCATTTAATATTATTAGTGTTCCTATGTGTCTTGAAACTTGTGTTTCTGGTCTTGGGATGCCTGAAATTGTCTACTACTCCTCCCCTTCACTCATTCCCCTCCAGCTACACTGGTCTCCTTGGTGTTCCTCAAACACTCTAGGCAGAGTCTACCCTCAGGATCTTTACATTTCCTGTTCCATTTGCTCATCTTGTTCATATAATTCCAGAATGCAAGTGCTTTTCCACACCTCAGTATCTGGATTCCTTTGTTAATGCTTCCAAAAAAGGACAGAAGGAGGAAGAGCTAGGCAGCAGGCCTCTAGTACACACACTGACTTTCCCTGCTGGGTGCAGAGAGGCAAGCCTGGCAGACAGGGCAAAGAAAGGCTGGGGCTGGAGGAGTTAGGGGCCAGCTCACTGTCTCAGCTCGGGGTTCGCTGTCTGCCCCTTCTCCGTTAGGGATGCATCCTTTCTGGATCATGGGGATAGCAAGCATGGGGTCGATACCCGAATTTTCTCTCTCCTCCAGGGACTTCTTGGAGTCTAAGGAAGAATGGGAGGAAGCAATGAGGTCCCACCCTCTCCTTCCATTTTCCTCCCCCTCTTCCTCCACTGGGGCAAGGCAAAGAGGGGATCACTTACCCTCAATGATCTCCTTTACAGCCTGAGACAGCACCCCTTCCACCAAGGCCTCAGTGTTTGTGGATGGCCCAGGAGCCTGGGTCGGTGGCTGCCTGCGATGGCCATTCTGGATCAAAGGGATGACGAGTTCCTTGGGGGTTTCTGAGGGCTTCACACTGATGTGGACACAGAGATGTGAAGTTGGGAGAGTAGCATGGTCAGTGGGTTCTGAGCCACACTCCTCCCTTCAGAGAAAACACAAGAGCCACACTCACCCCCAGCTGGAGGGACCACACCCTCACTCTCATGTCATGTATCTAATGGTGTTTTCTTTAGATTCTCTCCCCCACCCCCAACTCTTAAATATCAGTGCCTTTGAGGAATCAGCCTTCAGTCCTGGAACCTCTGCTCAGCCCAAGACCCACTTCCGTGGCTTTCACAATGACTCACAAGTCACCATCTTCAGCCCAGACTCTCCCCAGGTCCAGGCTCCACACCAACCCCTGGATGGCTTATTCTCTTCTGGAAGTCTCTCCCTCCAACTCTCCTTTCCGCATTAAGCTGATGATGGCCTCCCCAAAACTCCATCTGCCACTCCACCCCATTCCCTATACTGGAGAAGCTCCACCGCTTCAGCTGAGAAACTAGGGGTCCTGTCATTCTCCACTCCTTTCCTTCTCTCAAAACGCACACATCTCAAGGCCCCCAAGTGCTAAAGACACACCCTCTCAGGAATACATCCTCTTTTCTCAAACGCCCTGGCTGTCAGGTCCAATTTCCCCACCTCCCCTGTTACACACTTCCGCCTTCTCGCCTCCACGAATTTCCTCAGGCTGTGCTCCAAAGGTTTGGTGGCCGCTGCCACCAAAACAATCAACTCAGATTCCACCCTCCCGCTTGAACCCACCGAACCTAATTCCAAGGGATGAAAGACACGGCGCTTCACCTCTGCAGCTCCCTCCCTTCCACGGTCTTTAAGAAATCCTTCTCCTCCGGAGCCGCACTCGCGTCGTCTCCCGGATCCGCCAGCCGTCTCCTGGCGGACGTGCGACTGAAGCCGAATGAAATTGGGGCAGCAGAGGCTCCCGCGGGTCGCAAAGTACCGTCTTCAGCGTCCGCCATCTTGCCCCTCTTCCCAGGCGAGTGTGCTGCTTTCTGGGAAGTTTAGTTTGGGCTCAGTTTGACCGGGGCCAGACGACGGGCTTTAGAACTACCTTTCCCAGAAAACACTGCGGCATCGACTGGCGTACGTGGAACAGGGGCCTTAAGAAGTAATTGTTGCTGTTCTTCATAGGGGCGCGTCGCGCCAATCATATAGGAATATGTGGTTCTTGGGGGTATTCATTCTTTCATTCAGGTAGTCAACAAGTAGTCATTAATCGCCGTGCCCTACTGGTATGGGAAGTGTAGATAAAAATACATCATTTAAGAAAAAAATCTGTGTCAGTTGTGTACAATAATAAATAGACATGTAAATGGTGCCTACTGATGCCAGATTTAATACACCACAAGCTCTGGATTCAAATATTAATAAAATAGACCTCCTCCTTTCTAGAGGATCATAGTCCAGTAGGGAACAATGACCTAAACAGATATTAAAAGTATATATACATGTGTGCCTGGATGGCTCAGATGGTTAAGCATCCCACTCTGGATCCCAGCTCAGGGCTTGATCTCAGGATCCGGAGTTCCAGCCCCACGTTGGGTTCCGCACTGGGTGTGAAGACTACTTAAAAAAATACACATACATACAGTTGACCCTTGAATAATGCAGGGGTTAGGGGATCCAATCCCCTGCCCCCACAGTTGAAAATTTACAAATAACTTATGATTCCTCAAAAACGTAACTACTAATACCCTGCTGTTGACTGGAAACCTTAATGATAACCTAGGCAGTAGAGTTACACATATTTTGTATGTTACATGTATTATATACTGTATTTTTTTATACCGTATTCTTAAGAGTAAGCTAAAGAAAAAAATGAAAATGTTATTCAGAAAATCATAAGGAGGAGTGCCGGGGTGGCTCAGATGGTTAAGCATCTGACTCGATCTCAGTTCAGGTCATGATCTCAGGCTTGTGGGTTCAAGCCCTGCATGGGGCTCTGTGCTATCCGTGCAGAGCCTACTTGGGATTCACTCTCTCCCTCCCTCTCTCTCTCTCTCTCTCTGCCCTCCCCCCACTCTCACTCGCTCTATCTCAAAATAAATAAACAAAAAATTATAAGGAAGAAAAAATATATTTATAATACTATACTGTATTTATTGAGAAAAATCCTGGTATAAATGGACACGTGCAGTTCAAACCCATGTTGTTCAAGGGACAACTGTAGTTCTTACTGTTACCCAAAACTGGGTTCACCTTTTGGTAGAAATGGAGCCAAAAGACTCATCCAAGCAAAGAATAGGAAAAGGAAGAGTTTTAGTTGCAACAAATAAAGGAGAACACTGGGGATATCTCCCAAAGCAGTGTCTCCTTCAACAATAAAAATGGGTAAGTTTCAAGCTAAAAGTGCATATATATTCATGGAAGGGCTTGCAAAATTGGGAATTCAGCATGGAATTGGAGCAAAGGTCATCTTAAGGCAACTGAGACCAGGTCTCAAGTTAATTGAAGTCAGGAGAGCTGGTCAGCATCATCAATTCTCTGGCTCCAGTTGGTCCGGTATTTGAGTGCTCAAAGGGATTTAAATCCTACAAAGAAGACCCAAGAATATGTGTCAGGTCAACCTTTACTTTTGAATCAGAAATGGAAGTTTTACCACTGATTTATTGTTGCCGATATGATTAGGCTATCTTCTGGCCTGATAGTGTCTCTTTGTTCTCACATTCTTTTGTTTCCTTCAAATCATTATCTACTGAAATCTATTCTTCTGCAATTTCAACACATCTCAGGAAGTTCTACAAGAAATGTGCAAGTAGTGCTTGTCAGGCAAAAATTGCAAAAATAGCAAGAGTCTAAAATGAGTTTTCTTTCTTTTTTTAAGTTTATTTTTTATGAGATAAAGAGAGAGAACCAGCGAGGGGGGGGGGGGGGGGGGGGGGTCAGAGGATCCAAAAGTGGGCTTTATGCTGACAGCAGTCAGCCCAATGTGGGGCTCGAACTCAGGAACCGTAAGACCATGACCTGAGCAGAAGCCAGATGTTTAACTGACTGAGCCATGCAGGCACCTCTAAAGTGACTTTTCTTATGTCAAGAAATTTATGCCTCATCTTTCTTTTTCCAGGGATCACAAATTATTTCTGCTTATACTACCAACATTAAATATGTTGTGAGAGCCACGTTCTAAGGCTTTGAAAGGTTAATGGGACAGATTCCTTTTGTGTAGGACCTTAAAGAGAGAGAAGAGAAATTGAAAGGGCCCCATGAAGGGCTGTTTTTTGAAGGACTGCTTTTTTTCCCATTTCCCTGCTTCTCTTCTTGCTAGGACCAGCACACCTGCCTTACACATTCCTTATAATACAAATAATGTATGTCCTCCTTGTAAGAATGAAGGAGTTAATGGTTTCTTTGGAACCTTCCAGCACAATAGAAAACTTCTAAGGAATGAGTGAGTGAGGCCATCATGTGTGTATTCCAGACCACCGGTGCTAGAAATCTCAATTTTAAGACCCCCTAGCACCAAGGAATAAGTGACTTATGGAGGACACGTGGACCATTCTCCCTGTTCTGTCCAGTTCCTCGATGCCTGAGAGGACACTTACATCAGACCACAATCCTCAGTAAAAACCCCAGACACCAAGCAAAGACAAGACTCTCTCCTTTCCTGAGTCTCCCAGACACTCTGCCTGTATCTGTACTCTCTCTGTATCTTTAATAAATTCTGCTCTTACTTCTTCTTGGCTCACATTTGATTTTTATGCTGCGTGAAGCCAAGGACCCTCTTGGCTGGTCCTGCGGGACCCCCTCTGGGTCCTCGGACCCAGCCTGCCTTCATCATAAGAGTTTATAAAGTAGAAGAGTGATACTGAAATAGCCACCAGAAATAATACCACAGATGTGCTAAAAATTCATCCCAAGGAAATCATTAAAGATGTGCGAAAAGATTTTTTTAAGTTTATTTAAGAAATCTCTACATCCATGGGGCACCTGGGTGCCTCAGTTGGTTAAGTGTCGGACTTCAGCTCAGGTCATGATCTTAAAGTCTGTGGGTTCGAGCCTTGTGTCAGGCTCTGTGCTGACAGCGCAGAGCCTGGAGTCTGCTTCAGATTCTGTGTCTCCCTCTCTCTCTCTCTCTCTGCCCCTTCCCCACTCACACTCTGTTTCTCTCTCTCTCTCTCTCTCTCTCAAAAATAAACATTAAAAAAAAAATCTCTACATCCAACGTGGAGCTCAAACTTATGAGCCTGACATCAAGAGTCACCTGCTCTTCTGACTGAGCCAGCCAGGAGCCCAATGAAAAGATTTTTATGTCAGATTCATCATGGTATTATTTATTGTAGCAAAAGATTGAAGACCACTTAAAGGACAACAGAAGGAGACTAGGTAAATGAATTATAGCACATTTCTTGCATGGAACACATATACTAAAATATTTAAATGTGAAGCTATAAATATACTTAAATGAAAGTGAAATGTTTGGTAAGTAGAATAATGTGCTGGGTCAGAGGATGGTCTTGAAAACACAAACCACAATAATCAATCTCATGGCCATGTTTCCAGGCTTAGAAGCCCTGGGCATCCTTAAAGATACCTAGCAGATAAAGACTACAAAGCAACTTTTATAAATGTCGATTTAAATAAAGAGGTAAACTGATGCAAGTTCAACAAGATGAGTTTATTTGGGAATAGCAAAGATTGCAATTCTGGACACCCAAACTGTAGCAAGCTACAGATAAAACCCGAATTACAATTCTTCTCCTATTCCCAAATAAATTCATCTTTCTGAGCTTGCCTCGGTTTCCCTCTGTATTTAGGTTGACATTCCTTGGAGTCAGAAGTGGGATCCAAAGGAGATGACCCCAGAAGAATGATGATCCAGGGAATCATGTGAGGTACCTGTCCCAAGCACCTTTCACTCATGGCTTCTGTCAGTCCAGACCTACTTCTTCTCTTGGGTGAGTCTCCTCTAGGATTCTGAGCTCCCTGCCTTTGGTTAACATTTCTGACTTTATTCAAGATCTGTTTAAAAACTATCATTTTTTGGTGAGTACTTGTTTCTCTTAGTGAATACTAGTTTGTTTGGTGAATACTTCTTTGTTTTATTATTGGAAGCACACCAAAATGTTGGTATAGTTCCTTTGGAATTCTTGGGACTGTTAAAAATAAAGCCACACATAAGCCCAAGGTGGAGTCACTTGCCTTCCAAGTTGCAATTAATTGCAACTTCAACCTCTCCAAGAGTGGAATTTTAAACCAATCAATCTGGAATGTTCTGGTCTGCACCAAAGAGGTAATCTGTCACTTGGGGCCCTCTCATTCCCAAAGGAAGATCAGGCAATCTGCATGATAAGAACCACCCCACCCCTCATCCCACATTTTCTTCAGAGGGGAAGTGAATTTACCTAAAACAATACTTTATTTTCTTTTGCTTTTTTTCACTTTTCTTGCCCAATCCTCCTTCCTATAAAAACTTGCCATTTTGTATAACTCCTAGCAAACCTCCACTCTACAGTTTATGAATTGTTTAATAAAACCGACTAAATCTTCAAATTTACTCAGTTAAATGTTTGCTCTTTAGCAGGTATTAGAACTATTAAACAAGCTTGGCAAGTTTACAGAATAGAAGATCAATATACAAAAATCAATTGTTTCCATAGACAAAATAAAGATGCAATTAAAATATTCCATTTACAAGAGCCTCAAAATAATAAAATACCTAGGAATAGATGTATCAAAAAAAGTGTAAAAATTGAACTGTGAAAGCTACAAAACATTGTTGAAAAAAACTTAAAAAGACCTAAGTTATGAAAATACATGCAATACTGAGTCAGGGCCTGTGGGGATTCTCAGCCTTGACCTGTTGAGTACTCTCCTGCAGCTTCCATCTTCCTCTGCCATCCTCTCCCCTAATCTGTGCCCCCAAATTCATTAAGGAAGTTTCCAGCGCCATGGACTGTTGAAGCTCCCCCAAAGTATCCACAGGTTTTTCACACTTTTCTGTATTTGCCACCCTAGGAAC